GTCCACATGAACATCATCACCCCTGATATGTTGCAGCGGTCTATTGATTCCTTTTTGCAAGCGTGTATTGCATGTGGCTGGGGCAAACATCTTCATCAGAAATTTCACTGGGTTTTACATCTCCCTTCTCATTTGCAGAAATTCAAGCTTCTACCAGCATGTTGGGTACAAGAGCGAAAGCACAAATGTGTGAAGCGGTATTCTACTGCAATTTCCAACACAACAATTTTTGAAAGATCTGTACTGGTTGAAGTGATCTGTCATGACCTTGCTGCCATTCAAGACCCATTGGTGTTCAAGGAAGGCCCGCGTTTATTGAAGAACTCCAAGGTGACGAAGAAAATGAAGGCGCTGCTTGAGTCTATGGGGCAAAATGTCACTGAAGATTGCTACAGCTGCGCCACTGCTGTGTTACACCCTGCTGGACTCTGTCACAAAGGCGATGTCGTCTTGATGAGAGGCCCATCTCAGGTAAATGCTGGCCAAGTCTGGATCCATGAGTTTTTCAACGGGGTGTGCATGACTTTGATGAGCAAATGGAAGTTGATCTCTTACAACGCTTCAAATGGGTTCGCCGTGTTCAAGCAAGAAGATCATGCTGAGTTTGAGGCAACTTTGGACATATATGCATCTACCACTTGGAGTGTTCATGAGCCAACTGTATGCAAGGTCCTTGTGCCCTTGGCATTCAGAAACTGAATTGTCATCTGGACACCTGTCTCACACAATGCAGCCGTGGTGGAAAACAAGACAAGCGCTTCGTGCAAGCTTGCTTGCGCACATTGACCATGACTTTCATGTTGAGCATGTGGTTGACCAAACACAATCCAGCCATCCTTGCAACTTGTGATGCTGTGTTTGCAACCAAGCTCTTGCACACAAGTTTTTTCTTGTCAAAGCTAGAAAAAAAGCTACATGTAGGAGTTAGCTAAGTACTTAGCTAAACCGGCTAACCTAGTAGCTAAGTCCTTAAGTTAAGTGTTTAGCCTAACCCCTGTATCAGCTTAGCAACCTTTTGGCAACTCGCCTAAGTACTCCTAAGTTCTAGCAATTTCACACCTCATCCAAGTGAAGAGTATGAGACAGTTCAAGCCCAAGAGGATCGCATCCGAAGTGGTCGGAGTTATCAAGAGGAATTTGATTTCCTATTCGATGGCGTCTGACCTGAGGATGACGGTGCAGAGCGGCATCAGGCTGCCCCCTTATCTTGGTGAGGACAAGGGAGGAGTCGATGCGGCGTGGGATGAACTGGCGAAGGTGCTTTTTCAGTTCTCCTATGTGTCGGGGATTTCGGCCTCGGATGCGTTCGTGGAGAAGTGGGTGGCGAAGCACCTTATCAAGACCAATCAAGTCGATAGATTTGAGTCGGTAACTGAGTATTTCCGAGCGAATCCGATGCATGCGGCTCAGTGGGGTAGACGTATGACGACTTCCGTTAGGAAGTTCGCCCGTCATGACACGTACTTGTCCTTCTATATCCCGATGGCGTAGGTGATTGGTGCTGCGGCGGGTCATCTGACTCCCTTGTATCCGACCCACCGGAAGGACGTGATAGCGGATCTCAGGAAGTACTTGGTCTCAGCAACGGGGTACGATGAGAAGAAGAGATTGAGGGAGGCGGTAGCCAAGGTGCAGAAGGCGATCAGTGCTGGGCAATCAGAGCCTCCTGCCCCCTTCCGTGACCCATTCGTCTACGTTAGTGACGAAAGGGTGAGGACGGTTCTTGATGGTCGTCAACCGGAGCTACGAGACCCTTTTCCTGACACGTCTCCTGACTTCGGTGACTACCGCCCTTACCGCCCTTCTCTCCTTTCTTCCCTTTTCCTTTTCCGCCCTTGACGATCGGCTCCTGCTTAGGACCAGGACCCTGTGCAGCATGATGCACCGACTGGAGCTCGTCAACATTCACATCCGGTCCCAAAGGCCGAGCCGAAAGGAAAGGCTGCTTCAGTTTCTGAGGCGAAGAGTGCTTCAGCTTCGAAGGCTGAGCCTAAGGAGACGAAGCAGGCCGACCCGAAGGTTGAGGTCAAGAAGGAGAAGGTAGGCGGAGACGACGCTCCCGGCGATAGTCGGGGGTCGGGTGAAGGGCAGAAGAGAAAGGAAATCTCGTTGGGATCCCGACGAGACCGTGAAGGAGTCGACAAAGCGGGAGGCATCAACGAGGCCTGATGACGTGGACAGCAGGCCAGGTGCGGCAGCGAGAGAGGCTAGCTTTGACGGCCTCCAAGGCAATGGCGAAGAAGCCTGAAGGGAGTGAGATCAGGTTGAGCTGCTGCGAGCTCGGTGGAGGGTCATTTCCTGGTGTTGCCGGAGAGTTCGATGTCACCCGATAGGGTGCTGAACAAGCAGGTTAGAGATTTCATCAGGAACGGTGAGAATGCTTCAGCGCTGGAGGCTCTCAACCAGATCGTGACGAACTCTCGCCTCGGGAGAGGGCGTCGGGGTTCGGATGTATCCCGTACTCCTTCTCGGAGATCCGTTAGGACTCTCGACACCAGGGATTCCCGAGAATCGAGAAGGCGCAGATACCGTCCGCGGCGTGACGAAGATCGCGACCGGAGGAGGGACGATGCTCGAGATCGTCGTGATGATGACTCACTCGATCGGGAGCGGGATCGAAGGCGAGATGATCGCAGGAGATCCGCGAATCATCGTGATAGGGACCGTGCGCGGGGCGGACGTGACCGGAGGAGACGTGACGATAGCCGATAGGCTGAGTCACGAGGATTGCGGCCGATAGGCTTGCGTCCATTCTCCGATGGTCGGCGCGGCGCGGAGATGGTGATGTTCCTCCCGAACCGCTGAGGCGCGGAGATCATGTCTCTCCCGTACCGCTGCTCGGCTGCTGGTCGTGCTCATCATGAAGTAGTGCGAGTGAGAGGGGAAGCAAACTGGTGGAGGGTACTCCCAGGTTTGCGGAATTCAAGCATTTTTCAGGCACGCATGGTCAGTGGTACCTCTTGCCGATAGGCGAGGGTACTGATGAACATACGTTATCCTTTGTTTCATGGCTTCTGATAAGAATTGAACTTCTTGCATTGTTGATGCAAACAGTTGCGGCCTAGTGCCGTCATGTGGACTCTTCCACAAGGTAAGTTGGACAGCGTTACCCCGATTAATTCGGGGTGGTGGCGGGAATTTAATGCCCGGGATGTCGCGCAACTGCCTTTGTGGGTTTGCTCCACCGCTGACGGCGGTAGTGTCCAGCTGTTTGCGGACACATGCGAGCAGTTAAATCCTATCAGTAAATGGCACGCTCCGCCCGTCATATGACGGACTCCTCGTGAGGGGGGTGTGATTAGCCATGCATTTCAGGTGACTACCGGCATGTTGCGATAGCAACTATCCGGTGCCACTTTGGCTCAACTTTCATGGGTTCCGTCGCGCCTCGAATGGGCGTCGCCGAGCCCCTGCGTCGACCGACGACATCTCGGGGGAGAAGGAGACCTCGGGCCGCCGTCAGGTTGGTAGGGACTATTCGCGCGGCCTGTTGTCGGTCAAGGTTGCGGGTAGCTCTTTTCTTTGTTTTGGTTGTTGTTCTCTGGTGTGTGGGAAACCCTGATCTTTGGGACCGGGGATTGGTTTGCTTTTGGGGAACCTTTCTTTTGTGGCTTGTTTACCCCAACTTACCCATTGCCTGGGCACAGGCTCGTGCCCGAATCACAAGAAGTCATGTATCTTTGCTGTCAGTTGCACTTGTCATTCCTTTCAGGGTGTTCATAGATGCTGTTGGAGGCTCGAATGAAACTGTGTGATCCTTGCAAAAGAAAGGCCCTTTCCAATGTCCGGATGCTCAACTTCAGTCATGCAACCGCAAAGCATAACTACGCTTTGCCCGGCCCTCACTTTCCGAGGACAGATATCGTCAATCAGAACGACGTCAAATATTGAATGATCGCATTGTTTGTAGCTTCTCATCATTGACTCCTATTCTGAACTCTTATTTACAGTCACGCTCTCCGACATCACACCCCAAGTCAAGATTATGGTAGGCACTACGAACAACACTCTGCGACCCTTGAGTTTCTCCATGTTCTTACAAATTAATAGAAACCTACCCACACCTGCGGATCTTGCCTTAATCATCAAGCATCTATGCTTCTCAACAAGATCAACCAATTGATGTTCATCATATTCATCTACAGTGGGGCTGTCTGATAAGTCGGTTCGGCGAGGGGAAGCTGAGTCTCTTAGCGTCCGTTTTGTCTTTTACACCTCAGGCGCTGGAGTCTTAGCCAACTGCGGGTGAAGGACTCCTTTGCTAAGAAATTCAGCTCAATTTCTCGAAGGCCTTTGAACATCAGTTGACTTTCTGAAGGGCCCCAGGCTTGCCAGGCCACCTTTTGCAAGGTGAATTGGTGTCACCCACACCTCCAAGTTTACTCTCGCGAAATTGAACCCCTCAACCTACTTCATGCGGCCATCTCAGCCCCCCAATTTCTTATACAACGATAGCTTCTACAGTGCTTGCGGTTTATATTGACTCGTTTGCTTTTGACAGTTGCTCAAACCCAATTAATTCATTGAACCCAGAACAGTCCACAACAAAAGTGCGACATTTGACACTCAACCCTTTGACGTCATTTTCCGTCAGCTTCTGATATGCTCACTGCGTTTCGAAATTATGATGTTGTAACATCATTTCTTTGATCCACCTAAACGCACTAGTCAAGTCGCACCTAGCAACCACATTGAGACTATACTGAGTTGAATCATATAGTTTCACAGAACCCTTTGTCCCGACAACAAACACCGCTCGCATCAAGTTCTTCAAACCCACTTTGCGATCTTCTTCTCATGTTCAACTTGCCGCCCCCTCCGCCTGAGGATTGATCGCCTCATTTAGATTATGCAAGACAAATGAAATGCGACTGCTGTTCGTACCTTCTTCCATCATGCATGTCTCTGTCTCCGTGCCTGTCTCCGAATGAGATAGAGAAATGCGTGCACTTGCGCTGTGTCGTTTTCCGGGAATGGAACGAATGGATCTCCAGCTCCAGGTGGTGCTGAGTCGTCTCGAGGACGAGTTGCTGTCGCAACTCTCCGCGGCGGATCCCGGGACAATTCTCGACAATCTGCCCCTCATCGAGGCGAATTCTAAGCACTCCATGGAGCGCAGTTCTGCTCACAGACATTAAAATGTTATAAGCGTCAAGTGTCAATGGTGCTTGCATGTATCAACCAGAATCAGAGAAGACATATTGGTTGTTTTGGTGAGTAAGCACATTATGAAGGAAGCATGAGGGAATGCGTGAAAGGAAAAGCCAACTGCGGGTAGATACTTGCTTGAAATTCAGTTGGCCATATTTGCAGAATACGTCACCTAGCTCGACTGGAGGATGCTTTGTCTTTCAGCTTTTGAGTCGCTGGAAGGTTTGACGTCAACATAGTTGGGCTTGCAACCTATTTGATAGCCACGAGCGCAGGAGTTCATGTTGAGCTGAGCATCAAACGGTTTGCACAGTATGTAACCAGCGAGCGCTCTTTATGTGCCTTGTGCAATCCACATCAGAATTGGTTTCTTGTAGCAAAGTCCAGCTTCCATTCCAAAGAAGTTCAATTCACATGAACAATATAGCCGTGATGCCATTGTTCAGCCGCAGCTTGCTAGGCAGCTACTTGGCCTGTTTGCCGTTGTGGTGCCTTACACGTGACTCATGTGACATGTAGGGCCTGGAGAAGACAAAGCAAACCAGCCGCGAGATTGCGATGCAAGTCGCAGAAGCCGAGAAAACCGAGGCGCCTTTCGCACCTTTCGCGCCTTTCGCGCCTTTCGTGCCTTTGGCGCATGACGCAGTTGTGAAAATGACGAATTCGAAGGCAGAGATCAACCATTCCCGTGAGCTTTACAGACCGGTGGCCGCAGAAGGTTCGGCATCTTTGTTATGTGCTTCTACGTTTCTGATGTAATTTTGAAAGCTTTTGGTTTGGCAGGCTCCATGCTCTTCTTCCTGGTGGTGGAGCTATCAACAGTCCGGCCCGGTTGAAGACGTGTATCAGAAATCTCTCTACACCCTGAGGTACAGCACATGTATCAATACTCCTTGGACGCCTTCAACACCTTCTTGCAGAAAGCTATCGACCGTGCGCAGGATTCAACTTGCGAACTATGGACGAGTGTCAGTTTTCATGTCGCAGGCCTCGGACGACGTGAAGGAGCGGACAGAACGTCTGATTGCCTCCATGAGGACGGAGAACTTCAGGAACACTTTGGCGTGTGTCGATGGGCGTGTCAGGATCACTGTCTTTCGGTGGGCGCGCCACTCAGACGACTCAGATGGCCTTTGTCAAGTCGCAAAGAATCGAGCGACATGAAGGTGAATCGTGGACTTTTTGAAGATCACAAGCGACTTGACTTGGCACATGGCTCCTTTAGCACTGCCGCGACTTGACACCCGTTGACCCGTTGAGGTTGATCTTCTGCTGCATGCTGGCCTTCCGCTTGTTGCAGCTGCGGCAACTCCCGGAGGCAAATTCGAGGTGCCTGGGAGTCCAAGATGTCAAGCCATGCGTAGGACTTTGTCCCAGCGCACTTCTCCTTCCTCATGCGAGGGCCGGCTGTTCTGACCCCATGCCGTGAGTCAGGCATTCAAGGCATGCAAGGCGTTCAAGGCATTCACCCCACAAACTTTCCAGTTGTGACGAGACATGGACTAAGGTGACTCACATCGGCGAGAATCCGCTCTCAGACTGGCTTCTAGACAACAGCTGGGTACGGGCCCTGGCCCTCATGGCCCACACGGTGTCATTTTGAACCTGGAGCAATCGTATTCCTGTTTACTCGTACCTGAAGTGTAAGCCCGTGAGTGAAGTGAAGCGCTGTTGCTTTCCTCAGAGCACTGATGTTCACTCTGCTGTGGCTTGTACATGGCAGCATCTAGGATGTATTGGGATGCATGTAGGCCAACACGCCTCTTCAGGATAATGTTGTATACATTCTCATGAAATGTTGAAATGGATGCAGCCACTGTACAAGAGATGTGCACCAGGCTGTGCAACTTCCTTGTGGGTCGTGGTGTCACAAGCCAGTGCAAAATAGCTTCTGAATCAAGCTGTTTGACTGCGCCGCTCTAGTGCCGAAGACTTACCGCCCAAAATCGCTGTTGCATGGTCAATAATGTTTAAGGAATGCTTGGCCATTCTCCAGACGCTGTTGTAACCTCGTCCACGCTGGTTGCTGCCGCAATGAGCTCCTCGCGACACTTGTTCACCTGGCTGATGTACTCAGCCCAAAACTCTTGATTCTGCAGGTATGATGATACTGGTGTCCACGGATGTACCGACATCTTGCCTGCCTGCAGGCGGTGAAGGACGGCATTGCGGTGATCTGTGCTGACGTACGTGAGGGCCTGTAGACCGAGTACTCCATCACCTGTGTGGCCGCGTGGGTTGTATCATCACCAGTTGCAGTCTGTACGTCGCGCAACCTGACGATTGCGCCGTAATCCCAAGCAAAGCCGTTGGTCAGCTGTGCCGCTTGAAGATGTCGAGCGTTGTAGTGGCCAATCTCCCACATGTGAAGCGACTACTGTTCAAACTCATGAAAGTGCCACTTCTTGTTGTGGTGCTGTACGTGGAGGATCTGGAGCTCAACCGAAGAGGTAAAGCAGTGTTGTAAGGGAATTAAACGGACTGGTTTTGAAAGAAACATGTGCTCCCAAAATGGCCTCCTCACTTTGGCCTGCAGCCCGGCATAATCACCATTCAAACTGTTGTATTCCTTTGCAGTCAGGGCGCTGTACAAAATACTGTTTGTAATTGTAGGTTTGTTGGTGTGCCACCCCGTGACGTGACGCGCCTCCTTGCCGTTGACACACGTGATGGTGTAGAATCCCGCAGATGTCAGCGATGTAAACAAGTGCGCTCGGTAACGCCTTCCCATGTGCTCATTTGATGTAGCAAGCGTGGTCACGCAAGGCCTGCATGTCCTTTGGTCCGATGCGTCAGGCAGAATTCACCTCACTGACGTAAAAATACTAGGCTGCGGCGTGTGTCAAATAAATGTTCGACATGTGTCACGCAGAAAAGTATTCGACATCAGTACATTGCATGTGTCAAGCACATTCTATAAACAAGAACAAGAATATGGGAGTAGTTTCAACGGTCCTTGTAAGAAGTCCGTGCTGGTTGAGGTACCTCCGCGAAAAGAACCGCAATGGAGCTGCGAAGGGAATTGTTGTTTCGCGATAGTTTTGCGTAACTGTATCTGTACATCCGGCAGTGTATCTTTTGAGTTGGGCCGTCTCCTATAGCTGAGGAAGCCCTTTGTTGCTTTCGCGGCTTGCTCGTTAGGTGATAAAGCCTCTTGAGGTTACAGTTGATACCCTGCTTGGCTGGCTAGTGCTCCGTGCTCCAAGTGTGTGCGTGTGCTCTTAGTCGGTGGCTCTGCGGTCTGAAACATGGCTAAGTGTTCGCAAAAGTTCCCACGAAAGCGCAGGCTTCGAGTGCAAGGGGAGGTGCTACTGAGCGCCGAGCTTGTGTGTGCATTAACTTGGTACCGAATAGTTGTGACTTCCAGCCGAAATGCATTTTGTGTACCAACGTGGTATTGCAGAATTACGACTTTCCAGCCGGAGCTGCAGAAGTGCATTTCGCGCACACCACTTCTTACAGCTTGCGACTTTCCAACCCAGAATTGCATTTTGCGTTGCAGTGAAAACAAGTTGTGATTTTCTGACTGTAGCAGTTAACAGTGCACGGCGCTGAATCTGCGAAAGATGCGCGAAAGTAGTAGTTTTCGCGACGAATGGCCGCTTCGCGAGAAAGGAGAAGTTACATGAACAACCGAATATGTTTTTTCATTCGCCTGTCAGGCCATGGTCCTGAAGCTCATCGAGCTGGAGGGTTTTGAAAACTTTGCGTTTTGCCGGCATGGCTTTGAGCATGAGGCTGGCAGGTTAGGAGAATTTGATGCGGATTTGCCAGGCAAAACATGGAGAGGGATGCGCCGAATCGCTCTTTGCTCAGCGTGTGCACATGCGTTCGTCCAATCCAAGCCGGAGCCCCTAGGTTTCCGGGATTGGATGGCAGAACTTGCTCCCGAGGCGCGTTACGATTGGCGCATGTCGGATCATGTCGGCAAGGCACGCACATGGCCAGGAAGCAAAATTGCCATTGGACTGGAAGACCTTGGACTCCAAATATTTCCGGCCCCTTGGACTGGACGGGTTTGGAGTCAGTCTGAGAGACGCCCGAGCCCTTGCCAGGAAGCTGCGCAGATCTTGGCATGAGAGAGAGCGAGATGCGAGTTGGAAGTCTTTTTGCAAACTTGCCAAGTTTGCAAGATTTTGCAAGTGCGAGGCTTGTGATTCGCTGCCTACGGCCGGATCGCATGTCCTCAGCTTTAGCCAAGTGGATCAGGCGGTGTGATGCTTTGAACACGTGCACTTCACGCATTGCCAGGCAAACCCTTCCAAACGGCAAAGACTATATTGACTGTGATGCCTCCCTCTCCTTCTACAAGGCGTCGCGCGGACGTGCGGATCTCGATGTACGTCTCACATCTCTCAGGTGCTAAGCTCCTCGTACGAGGACTGAATCTCTCGCGAATCTTTGCAGTGACAGCGGAATCGGATTGAATTGGTCTACGATTGATAAAGGACTCGACTAGTATGACGCCCTTCTTTTTCATTCTGTCCCCTGGTGCGGACCCTGTCAAGGAGGCGAGCATTTCGATTCGTGCGCGCATCTGGCACAATTGAAATCGAGGTGGAAGCCTTGGGGAAGGTGCTCATCGGCCTTCAGGCCAATGTGAACTATCACAACGTGGCCATGGGCCAGGGACAGGACAGTCGGGACGCCGGACTCGAGTCGGGCCGGTCTCGACTCGACTCAACACGCTCACCAGAGCCTGTGCGAAAGCCGCAATGGATCACCAGAGCCTGTGAGGATGAGATCGCCATGCAGAAGTTAGAGCTGGGGTCCAAGGAGGGTCACTGGGTGCGGACCTCGGGTCAATAGCAGCAATGCTTCAGCTTCGCACATCTCAAAAGAGTTTTTTAGCGCTTTTCGGAGCTGGGTGAGGTGATGCTGCAGAACATCCACCTCATGCCATCCTGGTGCGTCCGGGTTCGCAGACTCACAGAATTGTCTCGAACTCGCCAGACAACATGATGAGATATGATGAGCACATAGCACTCATGCGGCAACATGTTGTCGCCCTTGTGCTCGTTTTGGCCGCATGTCCATGGGACGTGTCCTGCATCCGGCTGCTCCATGCTTGAGGCAACGCTGGAGAAGCGATTGGATGCTTTCGCCGTAGAGCCGGGCACTTGGGGAAGCGCAGCGCACGGACGCACGGACGCACGGACGCACGGACGCACACGCCCAGGAACAGCAATCCCTACTTCCGACTTTTTCTTTCAGCAGATCCCTCGTGCGGAGCCAAGAGCCCCGCCAGGACTCCATGCGCAAAACGTGGACCCAAGGAAAAAGTCGAGTCGATATTTCCAATTATTGCAAATCTTCTGGATACCAGCACAAGCATTCACAAATACATGCCCTGGTCATAAAACTCGCACTTTTTCGGCCGAAGTGCTTCAAGTCATTTGTCCAATTCCGAATATTTTGCCAATCAATCCCTGCACCCCATCTTTGTCTACAGGTGTTCTATGGGTTGCTATGGGTTTTCTACGGGTTGGGAAAGTCAAGCTTTCAGAAACACCCTGTTTTTTTTTGAATCTACAGGCCACAGCCAGCTAGCGCCCGAAAACGAACGTGATCCATCCAAAAGCTTCAAGCTGTGAAAGAAAAAGGTTCTTGTACAATGCATCCTACGAGAGTTAGCATGGACCCTAAAAAGCTGCGTCACAGATAGGCTCTGAAGGACTCATACTGGGGCAGTCCTTGGGATGCAGCAAGCGTGCGAAGTCCATCTCTGAGGGCTGGCATCCCCATCGGCCTGCTGGAGCGGTCGATCAAGCTCACCAACGAGCCTCCGCAGGGCCTTCTTGCCAACCTCAGGATTCGGCTCTTCGAAGGGAGCCCCTCATTTCGGCCGGACCATTTGAAGCATCTCCTTCACCAAAACCACTTCCACGTGGGTGTGGTGTTGGTCGAGTCTCATGTGGCACAGGAGATCCTTTGCGCTCTTCAACCGGGAGGAATTCGACGAGAGGGATAGCAAGATCAAGCCGCTTGTTCAGTTGGGCCCTGCTGGGTGGGCCCTGCCCGGCCCGCCACCTGCTAGGCCCTGGTGACAACACACCGAGAAAAATCCCAACTTGCAAGGTCCATCCTCTTTGCGCTGTGCCACTTCCACTCGCTGATGCTTGAGCGCAAGAAGTTCGGGGCGCTGGGCTACAACATGCCGGCACCTGAGATGTCAGATGTCAAGGGGTCTTAGAAGATTTCTTGTGAAGGAAGTATCCCTTCTCCAATGGGGATCTCCGGGACTCGGCCTCCGTGCTATACAACTACCTTGAGGCATCCGTCTTGAGTCGAGTGCATGGTGCGAATGACTCCACATGAATCCACATGAATTCACATGAATTCACCTGAATTCACCTGAATCCAATATAAATCCATATTGCATTGCGCAGGGATCCACTGCCGTGAAGATACCTTGGGAAGACCTGCGCTATATCTTTGGAGAGATCATGTATGGAGGCGCGACGTATTCGTCTTATTCGTCTTGCGTGCGACGCCAGAGAAGCGCGCCGAGGCCACATAGTTGATGATTGGGATCGCCGCATGTGTGAAAAGTACTTGAGCTACTTCATGCAGGAAAGACAGATAAGCCAGACTAAGACAGACTAAGACAGACTAAGACAGACAGACTGGTAGACAGACTGGCAGGCAGTGAGCACATGTGGGCATTTAAACCCTGACTTCTGGTGCAAGGATGACATCTTGGACGAGATGGAGCTGGTTCCCTATGTGCCTTGCCTTGCCTTGTGAAGCTGAAAGAAGAGGCTGTTCTGTTCACATCTTTTTGTCCTTTCTCCAGGCCGACGGTTTGAGTTGGAAGTCACCTGGTCCTGGAACGCACGAGAAGTATCTTGAACACATTGACTCCTGGCTGAAGTTGTGCCTCGCTGCTTTCGTGCCATGCGCATTGTCCGGCATGTTGTTTTTCTCTGACGCTGCGCAGTCATTGCTGTGTAATGTGTTGTTGTTGTTGTGACACCTGCCACAACATTGCATTGGGAGTGATGGTCTTTGTGCAAAGTGTTCTGATGGAGCGGTTTCTTCCAGTGCAGCTCTCAATAGCGACGTGTTATCTTGTATGAGTGTTGACAGCTTGTTCAGCCACTTGCGCACATCACTGTTTTGTACTATCTTGCTGTGCCAAGTGAGCTTTGGTGTGTGGTTAGTATGTCCTCTTTTGCCTACATCATGTGCTCAGCATGCCTTGCGCCCTTGCCTTCGTTTCAAGGCTTGCCCCTTCGCATCTCATGATCTTTGCGCACCCTCAAACAGTGCCTGAAACAAAAGCTTTCGGATCCAGGCCGGAAGCCTCTCTCAGTCGAGAGTGGTGCCCCTCAGACAGACACTTAGACAAACTGTGACAAACTGTGACAAACTGTGACCTTCATGTTCAGTGATTCAGACTCCGTGCAAACCGTGCACATGCCGCTATGACATTGCATGTCTCTCACCTCGAGCTCTCCGAAGCACGCTCTCGAAACGACATTTGGCGGGCCTTCCGCACTGCGCCAGGGCACCGTCTGTTGAATTTCCGCAGACATAGCCCTGAAGATGGTTCAAAGAGAGCAAGTTTGCAAAGGCATGGGTCCGCAGACGCTTTTGTTCATATTTGGAGGCCGTCATGAGTCGTGCACCGAATGGCAGGCATGCATCACATGCAAAGTATGAGTATTTGCACGGCTCAAGCGAAAGTCCGCTAAAGTTAAAGCCTTTCTGAATTTCTATTTTTCCAGGCCAAGGGATTTCCAAGCGAAATGTCGGATTTCGAAGAGTGAAGGTCCCAGATCTCAAGGTGTTGAAAGGAGCCGCGAGGTTCCTTCGTTCCTTCCACTGCTTGGACGGTACCAAGTGCCCAATAGCCTGCTCAAAAGCTGGATCTCAAAATTTCAAAAGGCAGCGGCAGTCACAAGAATCAAGCAAAAGATCAAATGGAGGAAAGAATGAAAGGGGGCGACCAACTTGAATGTACAAGCGTGTGGTTCGCTCCACGACCATCAACTCTGTTTGCGTAATTGACACGGGTAAGCATCACGTGCCTTCTTTTCATTGCATCAGGCATCCCAAAACCGCACTTGCATTGCATGACTCGACGCTCAAGCCAAATGCCAACAAAGCTGGCTCTGCCTGAGTCACACGTTCTTCCATGTTCCTGTTGTCATGATAAGTACGCATCCCCACCATTACAACTGCCTCCTAACTTCACGTTTGAGTCCTAAATGTAACATCAACAGCAAGTCCCAACAGCAGCTGCACAACGAGCGTAAGCTCATCCCAACATCAACTGCTCCCAACATGGACGTTCCTTTTCCTTCGACCCCTTTGCTCCTGTCCTCACGATAAGTTTGCATCCCCAGCGTTACAGAATGCAAACTATTGAACGCATCATCCCATTCTGACACCAACATGCTTGTCCTCATGACAAGCAAGTACGCTTCCGTGCTTACCGCGATGCCATGAGCGCCTGATGCCATGAGCGTACAAGGGCCTTTGCCGTGAGATATAAATAATCCCAGTCCAACACCGACGTGCTTGTCCTCACATCCAATATGTATCAAAATCGTCAAGCATCAAAGCATCCCAACGATTCCCAACGTGTTTTGCGCCTCAGCGACGCTTGCCATGAAACATGCCCCCACGCTTTCAATGGCCTTTGCCGTGAGAAGTCAAACGCCCCACTACGCACCCCCGGCATCACATGCACAGCAGTGACGATGAAGATGACTACGCATCGACGCACCAATGAAGCTGACAATGAAGACAATGATCACGAGAATGATGAAGATGATGTAGCGTCACAGTCTTGCCCTTGCAGACAAGGTTTCGGCGGACCACCGGATATGTTGCCATACCTTTGAATTAGATTGATAGCTGCATAGAGGGTGGTTTGCAATTCAAGCTGGACTTGGTGAATCGTGTTTGGTTTGTGTTGCGTTCGTAGCACTGTAAAGTGGGTGCATTGCGTACGTTTGCATGGCAAGTGATCTGAGAGTCGTAAGGAGACGATGCCGCCGGAGTCACCGCTCTTCTTTGGTATGCATCCCAACGCCGAGATAGACTTCCGCACCAAGATGTGCCTGAGCGTAACGTATGCACACTGTCATGCATAGAGTCAAAGGCACGTGTGAGCCAGGTGTCACAACATCTTCGCGTTGCTGCAACTGATGCAGCCAAAGAAGATGGGCCAGAAGGCCGATGCGAGACGAGCGAGACAAGCCAAACGCAGAGCCTCTCGAGCACTCACCCGAGCTCTCTGTCTCACGTTTACGAAATCCGAGGGAGCAGTCGAAGAGTCCCCGATGACTCATGTCGGCTCCTGAGACTCTGGCGGGAGAACACGGGAGAAAGAGCACGGCGCGAGCGTCGCGTTTCCCCAGGCAGAGGAGATGTGTAGCGAGATCCTGGATGAGGCCGGGGCACGGCCGCACGGCCGCATGCCGCGCACGTGCTCTTGACCAAGCCTCAGGTCCGAGAGGTGCGTTTCAACGTGGAAGAAGTCGCTGGGCAGCTCACAGATGAGGTCGCATGTTGCAATTCCCACGCAATTCCTGCATCACATAGTGCATTTTGTTTCTTCCGCAGTTTTCGTCAGGAGAAAGGGCCATACCAGTTTGTTCTCATGCAGGCCGGGTTTACGGTTTGCAGTGTGGGCGCATAGTAAAGTTGTGTAGCGAGGAGTGCGACTGCATGAATTGCCTCGTCCATGAGATGGTGCCAGCACCCGGCGGGCTCTGACGGCATGAGTGGGGTGGCAGCTTTGAGCTGACGTGCCTGATGTCATTTGATGTCATTTGATGCCATTTGATGTCATTTGATGCCATTGCTGAGGTGCGTGGCCTGAACGAATTGCAGCAAGGATTCAAGGGAGAGCTGACAATGAGCGAGCACATGGAGCATCTTGCTGAGGCACGGGTTGCCCAATGTCCCGGCTCGTTTCTCCTGCTTGGAGCCCTTCATACAAATATAGCTTCCGGAAAAACATGCTCGCAAATGCGTTCCAGCGACACATTCGGTGGCATGAAGCGAGGTCGCCTCATGTCGTCTTTTCATTTGTGCTCTGCTTTGTTGTTCTTTCTCTTGTTGCCTTGCAACTTTTGTCAAATCTAATTGGCTCGACTTGAGGCGCTCTATGAGGAGACGCTGCCCGTTTGGTGGGTGAAGCTTGGCTTCCCGTCCACCCGCCCCTTGAGGCACAGGGCCGCGTGCGATGCACAGTTCGTCACTCTCCTTGAAATCAGCTTTAGCTTTGCCAATTTGCCTGGCTTGCCTTCGTACTTGCAGGTCCTGGCTGGTGAACTTGAAGGATCGCTGCTCCCAGTTGGAGGATTGGTTTGCGGAACCCATCCATATTCCGAAGGCATGGTATTCATGGCGCCCGGTTGTTTTGCGGGCGGTGTGGGAATAGGTTGTGGACGTCTCCAAGTTGTTTAACCCGCAGAGCTTCCTGACAGCCATCAAGCAAGTCTGCCGGATGCTTACGCTGGTGTGAGAGTGAGCGTGAAATTGCTAGTAATCATGAATTATATTCTGTGTTTGGCTTCTCTCCGAGGCTGCCAGAACCAGTTTCTGGAGTTGGATCGCTTGCAGGTATTTACGGAGGTCACGCAAGTTGGACCTATCGACATCGCAATGGCTGTATCGACACATTGACATCGATAGTATCGGCATGTGCTTTCAAATCTGCTTTGGTCTTTGCGATGTATCTCGTGCAGGTCACAAAACGTATTGACCCCAAGACTGTCGACAGCCGGGAGTCCGGGAGCACGTTCACCTTGCACATCTTGCTCACCTTGCACACCCTGCACACGCGGTGCATAAGGCCTTGCCCGAGAAGGTGCATATGTCACAGGTATGCTCCTTCCTGAGACCGGCAACCGGTTGCCATTTGTTGCTCGCTGAAGAGACTTCAGACTCTTCTGACTCTTCGGATTTCAGGTATTTGGAGGGAGCTCGGTGGGACGTGAACACCAACTGCTTGGAGGATCGATCGAGTGATTGGGACTTGACACGACGCAACACTGCACCGACTGACGGCCAGGACTCGCGTCCCAAAGATATGTTCACAAGGCTACCTGTCATCAACTGCAAGGCGGGTTGCTCCAAGTTCTAAGAGCCTTAATAGGTGTAAGTGGTCTGAGAGAGAAGCACTCGATTCGATCAGGCAGGGCTCCAGCAAGAGCGAGAGGATAAAAACGTGTACATGTGTCCCACCTACTGCGTGCCCACACGAAGGCAGGATATGGTAAGCAACATATTCAGCATAGCTTCGTTTCGCGATGCAAACGATGCGCTCAGCTACTCCCGGCGTCGCTGTCGGCTTTTATGCAGGCCTCACTTCGTCTTTGTGGCGCAGCTCCGAACGAAGCAGCCGGCTGCGAAGTGGGTCTTGGCGGGGGTTGCGATCATCTTGGACATAGGCGGGCCGTGGCGCTTGATGGCGCTTGATTCATGGCGCTTGCGTTGAAATCTCTGCCAGGCTAAAAAGCTCTCCCCTGCCCCGGCGACGCCTGTACTATGTACCATACCGCAGTGCGGCCCTTGCTGCGCGAAAGTCGCAGCAACTCCGTTTAACGAAGGGTGCGGGAAGTGGTGCAGATCAGATGAGGCATTACTTTCATTTACTTTCACTTGCTCTTCCCGACCCTAGAATCGACTGCAAGTCCCATTGCAGAATGCAAGAAGCATCCGAAAAAGTGCTCATAGCTGCCAGCTCGCTGCATGTTACGTTCCCGAAATTTCCCGAAAGACGTCAGGCGCGACAAGCCCGGGCCACTGCGGTGTGGCGGTTCGCATTGGCAGAGGCGCGGAACAGCACAGCACGGCAGCGCAGCCTCAAGGTCTCTATCTGAGCTCGCATAGAAGTATATGCACATTATGCACATGTACGCAATAAATTGTTCATATCTCGTGTTTTGCTCTTGAATTTCTTGTTTGCCGAGAGGCACAGAAAGAGAGCGACGATCTTGGGGAGCAAAGTCTGCAGAGGGCAGCCAGAATTGAATACGCAATCAAGGTGAGGTGATGCCAGTTTGGCATCGAACAAGTTGTAGCCTCCAGGCAGCAGAAGATCCAAAGCACCCGGAAATCCTGAAAGCATTGAGGAGACGGGTGATTTGTATCACAAACGATGTCAAATCTCAATTTCTAGGATTGCTCATGACCTTCGAGCGCTTCGAGCCATGAGGCACTGCAACAGCTATGCCATCCTATGCCATCACACATCACATTGGCAGCACAATGCAGGTACTGCCAGCATTTGATGACCACCATCGAGCCAGTGCTTGGCTCCGCAACTTGGCGCGGTTTGTTCGATGGCGGAATTCTACGGATCGCATAGTGCGCCGTTCAGAGTTGGACTAATCTCAGGCTGGAAGAGTCGCCAACATGATTGACCAGGACAGGATACCTCGGGACACCTCGGGACACCTCGGGACACCTCGGGATGAATAGCGTGGGCCAGGTGATTCAGGATGCCGCCGACCTTTATGGTGTTCCCAAGGTCAGCGTTCGCATGGAACGAAAAGCCGGAGAGCCGGAGAGCTGAGGATCACAAAGACATGGAGGAAGCTCGGCGTCTTGTCTTGCAGGCACCACTCGTCACGCATTCCCAATGGCCCAAGTCTCTGTTCGAGGCCCGGATGGAAGAAGCGCAAGTCAAGAGGAAGAGCAAAGCGCCGTAAGCGCTGCAAGCTCGAGCCGAGCTGTAAAATTCCCATGCTCCAAAGGAGACGGAAAAGGGCGAGTGCGCTTGGGCTTTGATTTTTTGTGCACTTTGCGACCTTGGCGATCTCTGCCTTTGGCCATCTTTGGCCTCTTTTCCTTTTTGTCATTTCGAATTTCGCATGGATGCAGCTTCTGGCTCGATGCACTGAGCCGCGTCCCCCAGGCGTGCTGTCGGGGGCAGAGTCGCAGTGACCGAGTGACCGGCCGAGGGCCATGGGCAAGAAGGCCAGGGCCTCAGAGCTTCGGACGCTTCGGACGCTTCGGACGCTTCGGACGCTTCGGACGCTTCGGGAGCTTGAGCCGAGCTTGATATCTCCGGCCGGGACCAGCTGACAGGGTGGTTGGCCCTTCGGGGAACCCAAAGGAGGCTGTTCTGATGTTCCGACTTCGTCGGGATGCGCTTGCTTCCGAGGACCGGCAGAAGCGGCACAGTAGCTCCAGCCGCAGCAGGAGCCGGCGAAAGGACAAGAAGAAGAAGGAGGAGAAGAAAGCCGAGAAAGCCGAGAAAGCCAAGGTCGAGAAGGAGAAAGTCGAGAAGAGAGACAAAAAGAAAGAAAGGAGAAGGAGCAGAAGCGAGTCCTCCTCTTCGGACAAAGGCACCTGTTCTAAAATGAACTTGTGCAAAGTGTTTTCTCCAAGGTGTGCTGTGCCTCGCGTGTATTGCATGTGTTGCATGTGTTGCATGTGACAGGGAAGGCAAAAGCAAAGGCAAAGCTATCTGAAAGTTCGGAGGAGGCGCCAAAAGCCACCCGTGAGCTGGCACAGCTGGATGTGCCGCTGAAAGTGAGCGGCTGCCAAAATAAAGTCATCAGCGAGATTGTGAAAGGCATTTACTTTCGGCATGGAAGTAACCATGGAAAGCCAGTGTACAAGAAGAAGCCTGAGGAAATCCCAGATGAAGAAGAGGATATAGATGTGCTGATCTATTTTTGGGACGATCGGGACGGTGAAGAGAACTGTGGCTGGTGGTTCAGTCCCAGCGTTGGTGGCGAGATGGTGTGGGCTTACCACCCGAGCCGCAAGGCCAGGTCTCGCTCAGTTGCCGCTAAGTTTTAATTTTTCGGCTCACTGTTTGGGCCTCATTGAAGCTTGGGTTATGCTCGTATGAAGTCACGTCGCTCGACCGAGCACGTGGAATCAGTGCTACATGACACGAGTTGATTCTTGGCTTGTGGCGCTTGTGCTTGTGGCCAGGCTACCACTCCGCCCCCGGCTGAGTGGAACGTGCCGCACGATGGCCAAATTGACAAGACCTTCACGGTGACTGCAGCGCCAGAACTGGCCAAGGAGGAAAAGGAGAAGGAGGAAGAAGACGACGAAGAGGAGGAGGAAGAGGAAGAGGAGGAAGACGACGAAGTCTCCAAGCCCAAAGAGGAGGCCAAGTCAATGAGTCAAGATCTTGTGAGCAATAATGAGTAATAACCATGAGTTGCTTTAGAGGGAATCACATGGCATCATGCGGGGTCCCACTCAGCAGAATCGCCATGCAGAAATGTCAGCTCGGAAATGCCAAAGATCTGATGCATATGCAAATCTTATATGCAAATCTTATATGCGAATCTTATGCTTCCTTTTCTTTGGCGAAGGAGAAGGAGCCGGATCTCAGCGGCCTGAGCCCCGAGGAGCGAGAGCTGGCCATCCAGGAGGCCGAGGATCGGCGCATCATGGAGCAGCTGCGGAAGCGCGAGGAGGAGCGCAAGAGGAAGTTGGAGGAGATGCGACTCAAGAAAGAGAAGCCGGAGAGAGAAGAGGAGAAAGAGAAGGAGAAGGAGGAGAAGGAGGTGAAGAAGAAGAAAAAAGAGAAGAAGAAGGAGAAGGAAGAGAAGCGTAAGGAGGAAGAGAGGGCTAAGGAGGAGGAGCGTAAGCGAGAAGAGCGGCGAAAAGAGGAGCGAGAGGAAGAGAGGCGACAGGAGGAGGAGCGGGAGCGCCGACGCAGGCGCGAGGAGGAGCGGAAGGAGGAAGAGCGGCGAGAAGAAGAACGGCGGCGTGAGCGCGCCGAGCGAGCCGAGCGAGAGGCTCGAGAGGAGCGCGAGCGAGTCGAGCGAGAGGAGAGGCGTCGCCGCAAGGAGCGCGAGGAGCGCGAAGAAGAGGAGCGCCGAGAGGAGGAAAGACGTCGACGCAAGGAAGAGGAAGAAAGAAAGCGGCGTGACGACGAGCGGAAAAGAAGGGAGGAGGAAGAGCTCAAGAAGGAGGAGGAACGGCGTCGCAAGCGTGAGCAAGAAGAGGAGGAGGAAAGAAAGCGGCGACGGGTGCAAGAAGAAAAGGAGGAGGCCGAAAGAGCACGGCGAAAGGAAGCAGAGCGACAGAAGAAAGAGGAGGAGCGTCGGAGACTGGAGGAGAAGACCCAGCGCAAACTCGAAGAGCGACGGCGCAGGGCCGGCGGCGAAGATGACCGGGACAGAAGAGACAGAAGGTCCGAGAGGTCAGAGAGCCGGGTGGAGGAAAGGAGGGACAGGTCGGACAAGTATGAGAGGCAGGAAAAGGAGGACAAGCAGCAAAGGGCCATTCAGGCAGTTACGTCATGCTTTCAGCGGATGTCAAATGCGAACATGATGAATTTCGAGAACGTGAAGGCAGACTTCGAGCGCATCATGGCATCCGAACTCCCTTGCACCGGGGAGAAGGAAGCGGCTCTGAGATCCGAGTCGGCTATGATCCTGTCCAGCGCCGAAGAGAAGGTTTGCAAGGAGAGGAAGGCCCACGAGGAGGAGCTAAGGAAGAGGGCGGAGGAAGAGAAGCTTCGTCTGGAGCAGGAGGCCAAAGCCAAGCGCCAGCAGGCGGCCAACCTCAACGTGTTGAAGGCGTTGCAAAAGCTGTCGGACGCCACGCCCCAGAACTGGCAGCAAATGAGCTCGGAGTTCCACGAGGTGATGAAGACGGAGCTGCCGGATTGCGGGGATCAGCGAGAGGCGCTCCAGGCCGAGGCGGACCGAGTCTTCGGATATGCGGAGCAGTACGTGAAGCAGATGGAGGAGCGGCAGAAGGAGCAGGAGGAGAAGGAGAAGCAGCGCCAGCAGGAGCTCCGCGTCAAGGAGCAGCAGACCCGGGACCAGGTGGCCGAGCTGGAAAACCTGTTGACCAAGGTCGAGGAGGAGGCTCACAAGGCGCGCTCTGCCACGGAGCATCTTTACCAGCTGCTGAACTCGGCTTCTGCCCGGGAGAGCTTGGCGAGCTTGGCTTCGGCCTTCCCGGCCCGGGCGGAGGAGGCCTTGCGGAGCGGCAAGGCGGCGCAGCGCCTGGGGACCCAGGCCATGAGCGCCTGCGAAACGGCCTGGAAGCTTCTGGAGCAGCAGCGCATGCCGATGCTCGAGGTGGAGACGCTGCGGAACGAGGTGGCCGTCTTCATCCAGCGCTCCGAGGCGCGGATGCAGAGTGCTCAGATGGTAGCCCAGCAGGCCATCCGTATGGCCTCCGACAGCCGGGAGCGCATCAGCAACACTGCGGCCCCTCTCTTGTGGGATCGCAAGAACGGGGACGTCTTTCGCAAGTACGACCAGGACGAGGACGGCTTGCTTTCTCGGAGTGAGGTGGCCAACTTGGCGCGCCTGGAGTACGGCTTCGCCCTGCCCGTGGCCAACTTGGACCGGATCTTCGGCTCCGGCAACGGCTTGGAGCCCACGCGTTTCCAGCAGCTCAGGGCCGCGGTGGGCATCGCTCGGTTCGAGGCCCGCGCCAAGCTAGCGAAGCTTAAGGCGAAGCAGGCGAAGCCCGAGGTCAAGGAGGGCAAGGGCACCGAGGTGAAAGACGAGGAGGAGAAGGAGGGCACCGAAGTGAAGAAGGAGAAGGAGAAGGAAGAGAAGGAAGAGAAGGAAGAGAAGGAGAAAGAAGCAATGAAAGAGCTTGAAGAGAAGGTGAGAGCAGAGTATTTGGCTTGCCTGAAACAGCAGCAGCACGCCATTGGCAAAGAGGTGGAGGCCATTGCCTGGGCTCCCTTGGAGGCAAAGATCGGGGACGTGGAGCAGAGTTCTGCGAGTTTTGTGGCCTCGGCTTGCGGTGAGCCAACGGAAGCGTTGGTGCAGCTGGAGGGTGCCTTTGATGCCGCGCTGCAGGCGGCCCGGAATGCGGTCCCCGGCTTTCAGCAGCACCTCCGCAGCCTGCGCCACCAGGCACTGCAACTTCAGCTCAAGCGCCAAGCCGCGGATAAAGCCGACGAGGGATCCAAGGACAGCTCGGAAGGCAATCCAGAATCCTTAGGCAAGTCAGCCTTCTGTAGCATGATATGACTGATATGAGACGAGTCAAGATTATCAGGAACGTCTCATGTTTTATTTCCGCGCTTGCAAATTGTGTGGATAGCGGTCACAGAACTATAGACACCTTTTGCAGGATGCCCGTGTAACATACTAAGATCGGAAAATGATGGGGGATGTGCCGAAGCCGGAATCAAAACATGTCTCAAAATGAGTTTGACCGCTGCGTTCTATTGAGCTTGGTCTCCCTTTCGAAATCGGAATGATTCGAGCTGATTTGTGTCCTTGCATGTTGGTTGTTCGACTCAGTTCGTTCGACTCGTTTCGCGGCGTTTTGAGTCGTTTTGAGTCGTTAGGAGCTGCTGACGGATCGTCTTCTGCAGGAGTCGAAGCGGCTCAGCAAGTTGGAGGCCCGCGTGCTGCTTGCGGAGCGCCGCGCCGCCGAGGGCAGGAAGGTCACGCAGCGGCTCCAAGCACACAAGGACCGGACATCGAAAAGATCTGCAGCAGACACAAACGACGAACGAAGATGGCTTTGCAAAAAGAGCCGTAGCCGTACCAAAGAGTGATAGAGATTTGCCACAGACTTTCAACCTGAAAATCTCTTGTTAGGGGACATGAGACGTGAGCAATTCGTTTTGAGAGCTTGTTGAGCCTTTTTCGGGTCCGTGCGGCCGTGTCGTTGAATGCGGATGTAGGTGGAAGAGGTGCGGGCAGAGGTGGCCCTGAAGCTGCGGCAGTGCATCGAGCAGCTGGGCGGCAAGGCAGTGGATCTCTTCCAAATCATCGCCAAGGGCGAGGACATCGCCTCCGTGGAAGAGGCAGACGAGAGACGAGACTCTCCGAGAAACGAGAGACGACAGACGCAGCGAACTAAAGGAGACGAGTTTGAAGAAAAAACAGAGTGAGAGAGCGAGTGACGCAGCGAGGAACAGGTCAAGAGATGTCGAGAGATGTCGAGACTCCCGAAATTCGGAAACGAGAAAGCGACGCGGATGAAAGATACGATACAAGAGTCAGACACCACAAAGAGTCGAGTCAGAATGTCAGAAGAGTCTGGAACACAGAGGCCACAGGGTCGACTATGATGTGAGTCTGCGAAAATGAAATGCTGTTCTGGGATGTCATATCCGCTATCGGTAAAATAAACAGGGATGTCAGGAACCGTGTGCCCTTAGCTTCCATACAACTAGCAGCTTGGATGGCGGCAAGTTAGGCCATCATGTTCAATTGGGGTTCAGGACCATCCAAGCGGAAAAGCCAGCTGACAATCCACAAGGCATGCCAAGCGTATTTGTAATGTTCCGGCGGGTTGTTTCTCCTCAGTGTCTCAGAGGGAAGGAACAAGGGGCGGGTCGGGGAGGGGGGATACACATGGAGACGGATTTTATCAAAGATAATCAAATGCAAATACTGCTCTGAGAGCCCAAACAACGTAGTGCAAAACCAAGGATTGCCGGCAAAATATGGAAACGTGCACGTTTCATGCTTTGAGTGTTTCCTCAACACTAAGCTGATCGGTCCTCCAAGATTATCAGTCGCTAAAAAACGAGTACACATTACCGCACACGAGCGCAAATGTTAGAAGCGTGGCAATTGTTGCCTTCCTGCCAACTGTCAAAACAAAGCGCCCTGTTTTCAAGGACCGCGCGTTTGTCAAGGCATCAAGCAGAAAAGCATGGCTCGAAGATAGTTGTTTCGCACATGTCACAATGGGTCAGCAGGTCGACCCTGCGAATGCGAATTCAGGTGCCTTTGGTCTCTTGGCTCAGGCTCACACCTTCTTAAAGGAGAACAATTGTGACGTGGAGATGGAGAAGCTGTTGCCTCAGATGCCTCAGCTTATCTCAGCTTATCTCAGCTTATCTCAGCTTATCTCAGCTTATCTCGCAGCTTATCTCAAGCTTCATTCGGAAGTCCGAGCATCCCCTCTTCCCCTCTTCCCCTCTTCTGGGCTCTGAGGCTGACCAGAGCTTTTGGTGCCTGCAAGAGCTCCGGTGGCGAGCCTGCGAAGGTAACCCGGGAGGAGTTTGCCAGGCAATCTCTGTTTCATGTTTCTTTCTCATTCTCTTCTCTTTTCCTCTCATTCTTCTCTTCTGTCCTTCATTCATTCTTTTTTTCTTCCCCTTCTTTTTTTCTTCTTCTTCCTTCTTCTTTTCATTCCTTTTCCTTCTTCTCTTTCTTCTCTTTCTTCTCTTTCTTCCTTTTTTGCTTCCTTGTTTCTGGAGGCTGATCCGGGTGGTCTACGAGGTGGTGCGGGACGTGGGCATCACCGAGACCTTGAGCCTCGGGCCCCCGATGCGGCCCCTGGCGCTCGGCGAGCTCGTGGAGGCGGGGAAGAGGGGAAGAGGGGAAGAGGGGAAGAGAGCATGGAAAGAGGGAGGAGAGAAAGAGGAGGGGAAAATGAAGGAGAAAGAGAAGAGAAGAGAAAAGAGAAAAGAGAAAAGAGAAAAGAGAAAGAAACAAGAAAGAAAGAAAGGGTGAAGAAAGTGAGAGAGAAGGAGAGATAGCGTGCGTGTCAAACCCAGGAGTTGATAGCGTGTTCTTTTCAAAGGGGCACTGCAGATCGAACCACGCGCTCCTCTTTTTCTGCCTGTCGCGCTCATCTACGCCGATTGCCACGCAACGGGTGCTTCACGCTGCGGGATTCCCCCTTTCCGGGCCTACTGGGAGTTAAAGAGCTGACAAAAGACAGACAAAAAGAGGCGTAAGATGTGCAGAGATCGTGAACAAAGCAATGCAGGGTGGAAAAAAGAGGCAAATACAACGAGAAAAGAACGAATGGAAGAAGAACGCAACATGTGAGAAAGAACTAGCTGACCAGAAGAGTGTCTTCTCCATGACAACAACATCTACCTGGAATTGAGAAAGCGTTCAGTCACTGGCACTTAGTGTGCAGGTGCTGCGAATTCAGTTGATGTGAATTGCCCATACGATGAAGCCAAACCTGTTCCTTTCAACAGCGGTAATTTTAACAGCAATTTCCACCTGTCACTGGTGTCCCTTCTGTTCATTTGGGAACCACTGGTATGTTAAGGCCTTTTATGTGTCTTACACTTTGTGCCTACGGGCTCTCCTTGAAGTCAAAGGGCCTGGGTTCCAAGTTGGGCTTCGCTTTGGTTTCTTCAAGTTTCGTTTGTTTCGCTTTCGCTTCTTTTTTTGTGTGCGTTCGACCTCGCAAAAGAAGGCTTCCCCGAGCGAAGTCATGGTGCACTTGGGTGTTTGTTGTGGCCAAGAAATCATGTTCGCGTGATGTTTTGAGTCGTGAGATGGTAGAATCGGCAAACAGCGCAAGCCTCATACACTGGCAAGAGGTGCCTGTCTTGCGTCATTTCAGTGTGTTTGCAGTATGCGCTCCGGTGCATTCACACTTGCATTCGAATGTGAAGTCTTCAGGTCCAAGCCGGGCCCAAGGCAGAGCCGTCAGAGGCATGGCCGCGTCGCGTCGTGTCGCGTCATGTCGCGTTCTCGTAGGGCCTGCAGCGCATCCATGCGCGCGCCCAACTTGACGGCGCCCTGGGCTGGGTCACGCTCTCAAGCAGCCCCGCACCCAGATATTCGTGAGAGAGCCAGAGAGAGCAGAGAGCCCGGATTTCCAGAGCCTGGGTCTCTGAGGTGAGGGCCCTTATCTTGCGAGAAGCAAGGCAGCTGCGTAGGCAGCTGCACAGTCGAGCGTATCACCTGGCCGAGTGAAGGAAAATGTTGCAATGTTGCAATTGTGCAAAGCACATCGTGCTTCCAATCTTGCGAGAGAGAGAGCGAGAGAGAGAGAGAGAGGGAGAAGCATGGCGTGAGACCTGACGGCGCTTGCAGCCACTGTGGCTCCAATGGACCTGTGCTCAAAGCTTAGGGAGCTTGAGGACTTCTTCTACGGCTGCCGGAATGAGTGCGATCAGAAGTGTGTGATTGACAATCACGAGGTGGGAGTAAATTCGGAGTTCAAGTTTCGCCCGTGCTTCGCCCGTGCTTCGCCCGTGCCCGTGACGTGTTTTCTTTCGAGGTGGAAATCTTGCAGGGCCCATCTTTGGGCACCCCCAGCTTCGACTTCTGCCCCTCCGGCCGCGCTGACCTCACAGACCTTTGCACTCCGCGGGTCAGTGGAGGCGAGATGGGGCTCTTCAAATTTCTTCAACGGATGTGTCAACACATGAAATGGGGCATTCTGGATTTTCAGCAAGGCTTGTGGGCTCTTGCGAGACCTCGTGCAAGCAGTGCTTCGGCGAACAAGTGCATGCCACCTTTCGACAGGCTACATCTATGGTGGCTCACAAAGCTCTGAGCGTTCCGCACGATAATCGATAGTTCTTTGTAGCATCGAAATTCGAACAGTTCTTGTCTCACTCATGAAGAACATGCTTGCGCACGTGAAGCATGCAACAGTCTTTTCCGTGACAGCATGGGTTGGTATAGTATGGCATAGTGCGTTGGAAGCATTTGGTCTGGTGGAGATGTGTCGACTGTGATCCGAAAGTGGTTCCACGTGTGGGTTCGGGTGTTCTTTTTGGTGAACTCGGTTTTCCCATGGTTTTTGCATGGTTTCCGAAGTATTTCCCCGAAGTGTTTCCCATTTCTCCCATTTGCCTTCTCGGCTCGAGAGGGAGACAGCGCCGCGCTATGAACCGATTCGGTTCATGATCGAGTCTCTGGAGCTGGAGCTGCAGAGCACCCCGGTGCTGGGCTCCAACTTCCAGGCGAAAACTCGACCGGCGACCGGCGACCGGCGACAACTCGGAAAAGACTTCGGAAGAGACTCGGAACCATTCAGAAAAAAAAGGAAAAACAAAAACAAAACGATGGAATTCGGAGTTCGGATCAGACTCGGAGTTCGCACTCCAGGCCCCTCAGCGCTTCACAGTGCCATGCTCGGGTGATCTCGATTGTCGAAAGCGTCAGCTGGTGGCTCTGAGGTCTTAGAAGCAGTGGGGCAAGGTGCCTACGGAGTTGTTTGCTCTGCAAAGGCCAGGCCCTCTAAGCCAAAGCTCAAGCTCGCCTTGCCCGACACTCCGTAAGCCAGGATGAGCAGACCGGAGACACAGTAGCGATCAAGAAGATTGAGCCATGCTGGCCAATTGGCCAATTGGGTGCACGTGTCTCAAATTCCGGCACATGACAGGAGTGCCTTCGATGACATCACCTTTGCCAAGCGAACCCTTCGGGAGCTTAAGATTCTGCGCCACTTGCGGCATGAGAATCTCATTGATATCAGGCAAGCGCTGGTTCCCTCCTGTCCAGATGTGGAGATGTGTGCCTTTGCTAGGTTCGTTTTCCTACCCGGCCTGAAGTCCAACTTCGAGGAAGAGAAGCTGAGAGAGACCACCGCATACTTGATGCCGATGCAGGACATTTATGTAATATCCGAACTGATGGAAACGGATCTGGCCTCCATCCTAAAGAGCCCACAGCCGCTCTCCGATGAGCACTGCCAGTTCTTCATTTACCAGGCGAACCCATGCGCACAAAACCCAAAATGATAAGAAAAAACGATGCTGAAATATGCTGAATGCAAGATCGATGTGGGCTAAATGAGTTGAGCTCCGCGAGATCCTCCGTGGGCTGAAGTTTGTCCATTCAGCTGGCGTAATACATCGAGGACCTTGCGAGCATTTGAATTGGCGAGTTTGAGATGTGCAGAGTGTATGGAGATGTATTAAAATGTATTGAGATGTATTGAGACGCATTGAGTGTGTGCTGTTTTGCATGCAGACCTGAAGCCACGCAACTTGCTGGTGAACAGCAATTGCGATCTGAAGATCTGCGACTATGGGCCAGCTCAGAGGGAGAAGAGGGTTTGTGTCGCACCGGTTTGCTTCAGGTTAGCGCGGCTTGCCATGACCAACGGGGACTTCCGACCCCTTACAGAGTCTGGACCTTTGGACTCACTTTCCGTGCAATGTGCTTTGCTTTGCTTTGTATGAACTTCCTGTTGCTTGATTCATTGATATTGATTGTTTCTTGCAGGTATGTTTGCACTCGGTGGTATCGAGCACCGGAAGTGCTTTGCTCCTGGGCGGACTACGGTCCTGCCTCAGCCTGAGCACGCGATCTAGAGGCCCGACGCTGGCTGAATCGATTCAGGCGATTGACATGTGGTCGGTGGGCTGCATCTTTGCAGAGATGCTGAGGATGGATCGAGGGACATCATGCATGCATGTTGCATGCATGATGCATGCATGTTGCATGCTCGCATTGCCACAGGCGCAAGCCCTTGCTGCCCGGCAAGAATACACAGCACCAGCTCCAGCTGATTATCAGCCACCTTGGCTTCCCAGATACCGACACCCTGTCCAGGAGCCCGTGAACTCCCAACATGTCCCAACTAGACTCCATGTAGACTCCATGTAGACTCCATGACTTGAGACACGCGAGGATAAAGAATGATAAATGCCGAAAGTTCATTGAGCCAGAGCCCAAGATTGCCCGGAAATCTTGAGATGCGTTGAGCTGTTGACTCTTGTGTTTTGCCATGTTTTGCCTTGGCTTTTTTCTCAGGTCCTTGCCGAAGACGTCTGGGCCAAGTGCCCTCTACGAGGCTGTTGGGCCTCAGCCCGCAATGGTTATGGAGCTCTTGGACTCCACGTGGGGGCCACAGAATCGGAGCTCCCGATTTTGGAATGGACTGGACTGGACGACGGGACTGCGAATTCGCGAAGGTTTCTTGTGAGCTGACTTGAGGCTTCAATTTAACCCGGATCGGCGGGTCAATGTTGAGCAAGCACTCGCTTTGCGATACTTAGAGCAGCTGCACTGTCCAGAGGCAGGGCCGGCCTTGGGCAATCCCCATGGACCCAAGTCTTGACCCAAGTCTTATGTGCCTGCAAGGACGAGCCATCCAGTTCGTCCATAGACCTCAACGACTTTGAATTTGAACGAAGGAAGATTGACTTGGCAGTCCATGCCTCAGCGCGGCATTCGAGTCGGATTTCAGAAATTTTGCAAAAGTCCACGCGAATTGTTTTGGTTCAATGGCTTTCTGGTGCCCTCTGCAAGGCGCTCCGGGAGGAAATCTTTCTGGAGGAGCGGATTTGAGAGTTACAAGATTCAAGCAAGTCCAAATCGAGGCGCTCCGCTACCATCCAGACGTGCAACAACGGTACTTGCAGGACACGCATGGCACGTTGCCAGATTTATAAACAACTATTGCATTATATTGCATTCAGGAACAAGCGGACAACGGCATGGCTTATGATATCAGCCCGCGCCTTGGAAAGGAAACCGACATGTGCCGCAAGTTGTGCACCAGGTCGGTACCGCTTGTTGGCTCCGGGCGAGCAACTTGACTGAAGCGGCGCGTCAGCGAGCGGCACCATGGGCCGTGGGCAGCCGTGGGCACCGTGGCCACTGTGCGACTGCGACTGTTTCAGGTCGCAGTATGACGAGGAGGAGACGTGAGAGTCCCGACGTGCGGGGCGACGTGCGACGTACGGGGCGTGCATTTTTCACCCTTCAGTACCGAGCTCCAAGAAGTGAGCTGCAAGCCTGGGCCTTTCCGGCAGCGTCGGCCGGTCTGAAGAGGAGCGAAATGGATTGGGCAGTCAGTCTGCAAAGCAGACATTCCTTCGGCGAGAACAAAAAGCTGCAGCTTGTGTATTAAGCTTGGTTCAACGCGTTAAGAGCTCAATCTTCATTCTACATATGCCTTGTCACGCAGTTGAGCACCTGACGAACTCGCCGACCCGACGAATCGCATGTCGCACACGCTGCACGTGTCGACACATCGCACACATCGCACACATCGCGCACGTAGCACCTTGCTTATCCTTGAGCGTGCCACGTGTGCATGAAGTCAAGCCGCTGTATTCTCGAGCAAGGCGAGCGTCATGCATTCGAGATTCGACCGGCAGACAACAGTGCAAAGCAACATCGGGACAATGCACGACCAAAGTTTGAGGGCAAACACTTGAATAACAAGCACAAATTGCACTTCATGTTTGGAACTGCCTTGCTGACTGACATTTCAACGAAGTGATACTGACAAACGCAGATCGAGTCCAACATGGTAACGTGTGCAAAACGAGTTTGCTGTCACTTGGTATCACAAGTATCTCATGCTTGCTCGCAACGGAGCGATGGCAACGATTCCAAGGGAAGCAAGAAGCATACAGCTGGAGCAACAGGCTGAACCAGGGTGCAAATTGCACAAACATGCTTGGAAAGACTGCAAACATGGAAATGACAAGAAGCGGCGCAAAGCATGAAAAGCCGGGAAAGTGTCACGGCTTCGAAAAGGAAAAGCAGACGCAAGAAAGAAGGCAAGCAAAAACTGACTCCTCAGATCCAACAGCAAGCCAAGCGCCCCAACTCCAGGATTTTGTTGGGCAATTGGATTGAAGACGCAAGTGGCGCGATCCGAAAGTGATGGGCATTGCCTGTAGCATTTCGCATGCGGATTTCGCGCATGGGATTTCGCACGACGCATGTTCTGCGCGAAGTTCCGAAATTCCGAGGTTCCGAAGCCCACCGCTTCGCAAGCTGGAGGCGCAGCCGCGAAGCGTTTCCCCCGAGCGCGAACAGCGCGGGCAAAGACGCGAAGCTCTGTGTCGCCGTGATCTTGAAAAGCGTCAACTATTCATGCCTATTACTATATAAGATCTTATAAGGCCTCCACTCGCAGAGCTTGCGCCACGTGAAAACTTCCGTTTTGTCACATGCGCTAAATCTTAGAAGCGTCGATCCCAATCCCGATAGCGCTACACTGCAGTCGCCCAATGTCGCCATGCTCTGCTGCGACTGGCACAAGCCGTGCGCGAATCCAGATGTCAGTCCAGCGCAAACATCTTTGCCTTGCTTTGCATGTGTTTTGAGCTTTATGGGCAAACGCTGTGTGTGGATTTGCTTGCGTCGTGGCCAAAGCAGCTCGCTTGCGAGCTTTGTGGCCCTTCCGGCTTAGCTGGATTGGACTTGGTCCTGAACCTTATCCAGACAAATGCCGCTTCAGAAAGGGATATGAGGGAACGGCAATACTCTTCTAATGTGACGTGTAAAGAATCGCGCACATGAGAGTCGTCCGAAAGATGCTTGTACCTGGACCCTCAATCACCAATCGTTTTTGGGGTGGTGCTGTGTTGCATTCATCTTTGGGGTGTTTTGTCATTTTTTGGGGGTGTTAGTTCCATGTTTGGGTGTTTTCGTTTTTCCATGCGCTGCTTTGTCAACCCTGCAATTTCGTTAGCGTTGTGTTTAACTTGTTTGAATTAACAACGTTGTTGTTCACTGCGCAGGGCTTGCTTGAAAGGTACAAGTGCCAAGTCAAGCAGCGGCGCGGACCTTGCTGTCACTCAATGTCAAACTTCCAGGTTCAGCTTAGCTGCGCAATGCCTTTGATGTTGGCATGGAATAAATCATCAAACATAATTTGACCTTGGCCCAAACGGCTTGAATGCCAACACAACACAAGGGAAAACAACAGCCGCGTTATTAGCCTTTCATTTTTGTGTGAGAAAAGCATTTGTGAGTTGCACAAGTTAAGAAGGCTGCCCCGTTGCGTGCTGCCTAGTGTTGGAGCCGATCACTGAGTCGCAAGGCATCCAAACCAGGTTTCCTTTGGAAGCGAGCAGGTGGCTTGGTGCACCACACCTCAAACTGATGTTTAGGAGGGCGCTGCGACAATGCAAAGAACCAACATCCCTTAAAACAGGAGTTAGACATTTCGAGTTGTTTCTTCTAGTGTGTGCGGTGTGCTTTGGGCGGCACACATCACAAACGGTCTTTCATGGCAAAACCCGGTCTTCTAATGGCTTGAAACAGTGTGTCATGCGCAGTTCACCGCATGTTCATGTAATGTCACTCTACTTTCACGACTGTAGAGTCCAAGAAGGTATAAGTTCAATGAACAAATATTGTCGCAACAAATTGAAAAGGATAGCTTTCGCAGATTTTGTAGCAGCGCGATGGGAGTGATTCCGCATTTGTCCACAGCTTTGTGCCCTTGGGCCATGTGCCCAAAGTTGTTTCAAACTACAAACAACACAAGACACATCTTAATTAAGCATGATGTACAATTCTTTGCAAATTCGGGTATGTTCTGATGCCTCCTAGATGATCAAGTTCACATGTTGCTTCAACGGTGGTTCTCTGGCTAATGCGACTCAGCGCAACATGTACCAGTTGCCCTTAAAGTTGATGTCCTGAAGCAAGCATACAGCCAAAGGGTCCAGTCTTTATATGATAGCAGGCAAGCTTGCAACACCTGCTATTCTGCGAACAGTAGCTGTCACTAGCAATTGAATGGTCGTTCCGTAAGCTCAGTATTCTGCGAACAATAGCTGCCACTGGCAATTGAATGGTCGTTCCGTAGCGTCCACCTAGGATTAAACATTGCACCTGGAATAAAGACAAACGTGTGGCCCCCCCAAAAATGCACCTGGAATAAAGACAAGCACCCGCCACCCCCGCCCAAATGTTCTGAACAAAAAGTATAAGGAACATGACAAAATGGAACAAAAAGAGAAAGAAGAGGAGATGTAGCCAAGCCAACACCTGGTCCTTAGATCTTTGGTACCTTGTTCTTCAGCTCCCCAAAAATGAAACTGTCCAGCTGCCCAAGAAGTCATGGTTTCTTACATGTCTCTTGCTTAAAAACTGCCCGCAATCAAACCTGCAAAGGGGGTGGGTAGTACTGCAGGCCCCTAAACTTGAGCCCAAGACTTTATTTCAGGGGCCCCTACAATAAAGTCTTGTTGTCTGGCCCCCTGCAAATATACAACTAGCCCAGTGCAACTACCTATGAAGCTTCGGGCTGTGTTGTTAGATTAGGGCCTGCTTCCCAAAATCAAACATGTCCAGCTTCCCCAAGCTCTTGTTTTCTTGCATGTCTCTTGTATAAAAACTGCCTACAACCAAACCCACAAACAACCTAGTACTTCAGAAACTTCACCCCCAATTTCACATTATTTTAACGGCCTCTGAAATAAAGTCTTGTTGCCTGCCCGCGGCTGCCCGCGCCCAAAAAAGTATCAAAAGGAATCTCCAGCAATACAAAATCAGATGGAAACTAAGTTCCAGATCTCAAAAGGAAGCTCCAGCAATGCAAAATCAAATAGCAACTCATTTCCAAATCTCAAAAGGAAGCTCCAGCAATACTAAATCAAATGGAAACTCAGTTCCAGATCTCAAAAGGAAGCTCCAATGCTAAATCAAATGGAAACTCAATTCCAAGTCTCAAAAGCAAGCTCCAGCAATACTAAATCTTATGAAAACTCAGTTCCAGATCTCAAAAGGAAGCTGCAGCACCAGATCTCAAAAGGAAGCTCTAGCAATACTAAATTAAATGGAAACTTAAGCCTACCAATACTAAAGCGAATGGAGGCAAAATTGAACTGGATCTCAAGAGATTATTCTAGGCACCCCCTTTGTTGGGGTGGGGGAGGGGCCCCCCTTTACCAATCCCAGGCGACATTACTCCGAACAAAGACCATTTAAAGGACATTACTCCGAACATAGTCCGGATAGGTGGACAGGGTCCGCCGGACCGGTTGGACGGCCCGGACGGCGGGTCCGGACGGGTCTGGATAGGTCCGGACGGGCCCGGACTTTAAAAAAATAGATGTTTTTTTCAAAAAATGTGTTTTGGTTCGGACTAGTCCGGGACGGACGCTTAAATACGCCTTTTGGACGCCTAAATACGCCTTTTCGGACGCCCCGCTGGACGCCCAAAACAAAAAATGTGTTTTGGATAGAAAAAGGTTTTGTTGTATGTTTTTCTCGTCCGGACGCGTCCGGACGCGTCCGCCCGCCCGGACCCTGTCCACCTATCCGAACTATGTTCGGAGCAATGTCCTGTAAATGGTCTTTGTGCGGAGTAATGTCCACCTGGGATTGGTAAAGGGGGGCCCCTCCCCCACCCCAACAAAGGGGGTGCCTAGAATAATCTCTTAGATCCCGTTCAATGTTGCTCCCATTTGCTTTAGTATTGGTAATTAGACTTGAATTTCCATTTGATTTAGTATTGCTGGAGCTTCCTTTTGAGATTTGTATTTGAGTTTCTCATTGATTTACAGATTTGGAATTGAGTTTGACTTAGTATTGCTGGAGCTTCCTTTTGAGATTTGGAATGGAGTTTCCATATGATTTAGAGATTTGGAATTGAGTTTCCATTTGACCTAGTATTGCTGGAGCTTCCTTTTGAGATTTGGAATTTAGTTTCAATTTGATTTAGCATTCCTGGAGCTGGAATTGAGTTTCCATTTGATTTAGCCTTGCTGGAGCTTCCTTTTGAGATCTGGAAATGAGTTTCCATTTGATTTAGCATTGGAGCTTCCTTTTGAGATTTGGAAATGAGTTGCTATTTGATTTTGCATTGCTGGAGCTTCCTTTTGAGATCTGGAACTTAGTTTCCATCTGATTTTGTATTGCTGGAGATTCCTTTTGATACTTTTTTGGGCGCGGGCAGCCGCGGGCAGGCAACAAGACTTTATTTCAGAGGCCGTTAAAATAATGTGAAATTGGGGGTGAAGTTTCTGAAGTACTAGGTTGTTTGTGGGTTTGGTTGTAGGCAGTTTTTATACAAGAGACATGCAAGAAAACAAGAGCTTGGGGAAGCTGGACATGTTTGATTTTGGGAAGCAGGCCCTAATCTAACAACACAGCCCGAAGCTTCATAGGTAGTTGCACTGGGCTAGTTGTATATTTGCAGGGGGCCAGACAACAAGACTTTATTGTAGGGGCCCCTGAAATAAAGTCTTGGCCTCAAGTTTAGGGGCCTGCAGTACTACCCACCCCCTTTGCAGGTTTGATTGCGGGCAGTTTTTAAGCAAGAGACATGTAAGAAACCATGACTTCTTGGGCAGCTGGACAGTTTGATTTGTGGGGAGCTGAACAACAAGGTACCAAAGATCTAAGGACCTGTTGTTGGCTTGGCTACATCTCCTCTTCTTTCTCTGTTTGTTCCATTTTGTCATGTTCCTTATACTTTTCGTTCAGAAAGTTTGGGCGGGGGTGGCGGGCGCTTGTCTTTATTCCAGGTGCAGTTTTTGCGGGGCCACCCGTTTGCCTTTATTCCAGGTGCAATGTTTAATCCTAGGTGGACGTTGCGGAACGACCATTCAATTGCTAGTGACAGCTATTGTTCGCAGAATACTGTAGCATGCCTTGCAAGCTTGCTTGTTATCATATAAATACTGGACCCTTTGGCTGTAACAGTGAGGGTCTTGGGGCACTTTAGCGCTGTGAGCAAAGCTTAAAAACAATATGCTTGCTTCACGGCATCAACTTTAAGGGCAACTGGTACATGTTGCGCGGAGTCGCATTAGTCAGAGAACCGCAGTTGAAGAGTTGAAGCAACATGTGAACTTGATCATCTAGGAGGCATGGTGAAACTGAACACACCCGAATTTGCAAAGTATTGTATATCATGCTTAATTAAGATGTTTCTTGTGTTGTTTGTAGTTTGAAGCAATATTGGGCACATGGCCCAAAGGCACAGAGTGTGGACATGGTGCGACAATATTTGTTCATTGAAATTGTACCTTCTTGGACTCTACAGTCGTGAAAGTAGAGTGACATTACATGAACATGCGGTGAACTGCGCATGACACACTGTTTCAAGCCATTAGAAGACCGGGTTTTGCCATGAAAGACCGTTTGTGATGTGTGCCGCGCAAAGCACACCGCACACACTAGAAGAAACAACTCGAAATGTCTAACTCCTGTTTTAAGGGATGTTTGTTCTTTGCATTGTCGCAGCGCCCTCCTAAACATCAGTTTGAGGTGTGGCGCACCAAGCCACCTGCTCCCAAAGGAAACCTGGTTTGGATGCTTTGCGACTCAGCGATCGGCTCCAATGCTAAGCAACACGCAACGGGGCAGCCTTCTCAACTTGTGCAACTCACAAATGTTTGTCTCACACAAAAATGAAAGGCTAATAACGCGGCTTTTGTTTTCCCTTGTGTTGCGTTGGCATTCAAGCCGTTTGGGCCAAGGTCAAATTATGTTTGATGATTTCTTCCATGCCAACATCAAAGGCATTGAGCAGCTGAGCTGAACCAGGAGGTTTACATTGGGTGATAGAAGGTCCGCGCCGCTGCTTGACTTGGCACTTTCAAGCAAGCTGAACAGCAACGCCCCAAAGAACACCGCTTATCGTGACAACACCGTTAAACAAATCCGCTGATGGACTTTCAGGGCTTTACTTGGCACAGAACCAAAAATGCGTTTTGTTCAAGAAAAGGTGTTTCGACAAAGAATGCAATTCTTTACATGTTGCTTCAAAATTTGGGGTGGTTTGAGACTCCAGGTATAGCTACGAAGGGGGAAGACCTGTAGCGTTTCCGAGAAAGTTCTGCGAAAGATGTCGCGGAAGTTATTGTTTTTGCGAAAGCTTTGTGTAAGGGTGGCTTGCTAACAGGAACGACGCGGAAAAAGCGAACTGTATATCCCTGACGGACAGAGTTCGATGGAACAAGATAGATCGTTGAGAACCGAGATTGGAGAAAACGTCAACAAAGAAGAGAAGGAATCGTTGAGAACATCGACGGACAGAGAACTTCACCGAAGTGGAAACAACGACCAGTAAGTAAGAGCCGTGACGGACAGAGACGTTAAAAGACATGGAAGAAGCGACTGTTGAGAACCGTGACGGACAAAGAACTTGAATGACGTGGAAAAAACAACCAGTAAGAACCGTGACGCACACTCAGCCGCCGGCAAGCCCTCACTGCCGCCCCCATCGCCAAGGGCACTCCGGACACCTCCGCCAGCTGACCGCCCCACTCGGCGGCCGCCCGCCCCCGAACGAGCCCTTGCATTCAGGGCTGGCGCCCTGGAACTCCGACTCCCCAGTCACGCTCTCTCGGACCTTGCTCCGCACCAACCTGGCGCCGTTCCTGCACCTCTCCTCCTGGACAGCGGCTCCTCAGACAGTTGGTTGCTCGCACCCTAGCTGCTCGGCGTTTGATGAGGCTTGTCGGCCCCACCAGTTTGCTCGAGGCGCTAGCCTATTTTCTGCAAGCCTTCACCGTCATGAGCCGGAAACAAAACCGTTGCATGTGTCAACGTAAGGCATGATCTGCGTGGCAGCGCAAGTAAAACGCAAGCGAATTAAACGCACATGACGCAGTGATGATTCTGGCCCATATCAGCATTTTGTATTTTCTTGTTTTTCTGTAAACCCGAGCCATTTTGCAAAGTGATTTGTTTAGCACAAGAATGTGTTGCGGTTTTTGTCCTTTTGACCTCATACACTCAAAAAGGGCATGCTACTCGGGACCTCATGTTTATGAAGAACAGCACTGGGAAGCGCTGGGTGGCGCTGGGGACTAGGAAGGCTGGAAGGTAGCGACGGACGTGTGGCGGTCGCCGCGCAGCAGCAGGGGTTCACGGCGTCGGGCTGCAAGGCCGTGGCGCGAGTGGCGTTCCCCTACGCGGTACAGGGTAAGTGGTGTAAGTCGTCCCGGGTCGATCTAAGTCGTCCCGGGTGAGTGCGCCCGTTGTGTTTGTGGATGTAAAGATAGTTGTTTCAAGCATGTCCTTTTCTGAAAACGCATAATTCTGTGCTGTGCGCATGCAAAAAATATGATGTTCAACATTTGGTCGGCTTCCATGTGCCGTGTGCATGCGTGTATGCCACTGGGTGGTTTTCTCTTCTCGTGCCGCAGCACGGGAAGGGGTGCAAATAGCGGAAGCAACCTTCATTGGGATGAGGGCAACGCTCACCCGGCGCTCGCGCGGCACTCGCGCAGAGTCGCGCGGCACTCGCGCCGGCAGCCCTTTTGTCGGGTGTTCCGGGGGAACCAACAGAAAACACTATGTATGTTTGACCCTTTAATATTGCTGTGTGCCCAATAGGGTTTGGCCCGGGAAAAGCATTCAACATGAACCTAAACCAGTGAGTTTTGAGCAACATCGCCCTTCCAGTTCTGCAAACAATTGGTTTTTTTGGTCACATCAGCCGCCAAGCCATGTTGCAAGCACTGCGGACTGTTCCTGGAGCCAACGCTCGCACGCCTTTTGTGCGCCAGTTTTACGCCGCCCCCTCCAGGTTTGCGTGGCATGACGCTTGCGGGCAAGCCAATGAGATCCTCCAAGCGGAAGGCGGCGAACAGTGGGATCCCCTCATGCCTGCTTTGTTCGCATTGGGTCAGCACGTGGCCCTCGCCGAGGTGCAACGCCACCTCCGACGAGCTCCTGTTGGCCTACCTCGATGACGTTTACGCCATCACATTTCCAGAGCGGGCACGCGCTTTGTTTGACCTGCTGTCCTCATCCGGGCGAGAGCCGCCTGCGTTCGCCTTCTGAGCAGCAGGGTTTGGTTGCCCTCGGCGTTCCCTGCGGCAGTCCCGCCACGCAGCTCCAGCTCACGCGGGCCAAGCAGGATCAGCTCCTGCAAGGCATCCGTGCGATGCCTGACTTGCAGTCTGCTTGGCCCGGCGCAGCCATGCTGTGCGCGCACGAGGCCGCGCTTGCTTTTCCCGAGTCCCATGATGCTGCCATCGCGGCGTGTGTTACGGATCTGTTGGGCGCCGGTCCCATCCCGGGCTCCGCCCTCAAGATCGCCCAGCTCCCTTTCCAGCAGGGCGGCCTCAACTTGCGCTCTGGAGTGGATCTCGCTCCGGCCGCCTACTAGGCTTCGTGGGCGGACACGGATCCTTGCCAGGCTCCACGCCCAGGAGCCTTCTGGGCCCGCACTGCTGGCGTCCTGCGATCCCACGAGGCGTTTACGCGGGCACCTGCCCGAGCCAAGCGCACGGGGCTGGCAAGCTCCCGCCGCCGCTGCCATTCCCGGCTTCAGGCGACTCTCCTGGCGCAGCTTGATGCTGCTCCCAGGCCGGGCCTTTCAGCAGCCGCCCTTTCACCAGTGTGCCGTGCTGCCCCGAGCTCACGTTCTCTTCTGCCCTTTTGTGTGCTTGCCGGTGTCGTCGCCCTCTCGACCATCTTGGAAATCACCGAGCCATCGAGGTCATTGCAAACCTTTTGCCCTTGTGGAATGGAGCGCAGCTTGCGGTCGACACGACCATTGCGTCGCCACTCACAGGCAGCGGTGTCACCCGCCTTGCGAGACCCTGCCCGGCCCTTTGCCTTGCAGGAGGCCCGGCGTCGCAAGGATTCCGCTGGAGCACCGGGTTTTCCGCTCTTGCTCGCCCAAGCCAAGGCACGCGCGGCGCCTGCCGTGTTGCGCAGTGCCTATTTGCACCGATGGTCGGGCAGCTGCCCCCACCGCCTTTGCCGAGAGCCTGACCTGTTTGCCGTCGCCTGGCCGCAGCAACCTTGATGGGCCCGACCACGATGCCAGCGACCTGCTTGCGGGTTTCCTTGACGCGCCTGACGTTTCCCGCTTGCCGGCGCGGTAGTTCCTTTGGCATTGGGGGGGAGGAAGCCCTAGTGCCCGGGCACCCTTAAGCACCGACGAGCTGAGACTGCAGGAGCAAAAGGGCGCGAGAAAAAATTACACCAGCTTCGACCCCAAACAGGAGGAAACCGTGAAAAAAACACACCCACAGCGCAGGCCGCCGGCGAGACAAGTCCCGCTGCCGCCTGACCTCCTTCAAGGCCCAGTGCTTCCTGAGGAACGTGCGCGGCGGGTGCCGCGGTCCTGCGCCGGGCCCATCAGGCTGCACTGCTGAGCACCTCCGAGTTTTGACAGACCATAAGAACAGCGCAGACTTGTTGCTGTGGGCGGCGGGGCAAATCGCCAACGCGGCGCTGCCACCACCGGTCCTGGCCGGCACACGGCTCGGCAGAATTGTGGAGTTGCAAAAGCCGGATGGTGGAGTCCGCGGTTTGGTCATGAGTGACGCCTTTCGCAGGGTGGTGGCGCAAGGCTCGCAACCAGCCTTCGATGCCGAACTTGAAGCTTTGTGTTGCCAACTAGGCATTGACTGGCACGCTCTGCAGTTGCACGACCCTGTGCCGGTCCTGCCTGCTGGTCCGGCAGTGGTTCCCCGAGGTCCCCTGAACCCGTTGCGCGTTTGCCTGAGCAAGCCGTAGGTGCCCATCCCTGGACAGACGTCGGGCCCCCACTTGCCGGCAGCCAGGTGCCCGCAGTCGCTGATTGAAGCGATGCAAGCGAGATCCGCCAATTCCCAGGGCAAACATGGCAGCCCACAGAAACTGTTGTTGACTTGTCCGCCCCGGCAAGGAAAATATAGAATCTGACAAACGGTTTCTTGGTGTTGGCTCGATCTTTGTACTGCCTGCTGGGCTGCCTCAAAGTCGAAAAATAGGGAACAATCGATTTGCCGGATGCTGTTGAAGCTTCAATGTCGCCAAGGTCTAAAAGGTCATTTGCGCCATCACTGGGTTCAGACGTGCTTGTGCTTTTTTGAGCGTTCAGACATCCGTGCCTGTCTGACATCTCTGGCGTGCTGGTCGAGCAGCCTTCCTCCAAATCACAAGGCGCTGGACGTTTTCAGGAGGAACAAGCCTTGAGCTTGTTCCTCCTTGTCCACTTCAGAGCGATGGAAGATCAAAAAAAGCTCCTTGTCCGCAATGTCCTTGTGAGCCTCTGACATCTGGCTTCGCCACTTCCGAATCTCATCCAGAAAGGGCTCAAGCTTGATGAAGCACTCGTGCAAGCAAAGCGAGCAACCAGTGTTGCTGGCACGACATGAGGCCAGCCTGCTGTGAAACTTTGCTACAAAGTTGTTCCAGGGACTGTTGACCTCCTGCAGCTTCTTCGGCCTGACGACCCGTGGTTTCTTTTTTGCGACAGCTTGGGCCACCTCAAAGCCCTCGCATGACTCAGTGTCAGTTGACACAGCATCTTCCATATCACCATCCGAGTGACCCGAACGCAATGCCTTTCAATCCTTTGAATAGTGTGTGGAATCATGAAACGCACACTTTCTCATGCAAAACACTGCGGCTGGGTCGGTGTCATGACTTGCTAGCACCTTCAAATTTCAGTTACGCAGGCCTGAGCATGACAGGAACCAAAAGGTCAAGAAGCGCAATACTGATGCGATGAATGATCTCACTCAGGCACAAGGCAGCGTGTGACACTCATTTTGGCAAGCCCAGTCAAGTAGAGGTGGGCCACCAGCTGGGTAATCTCAATGAAGGAGAAGCCTTGGAGCAAGCACTAGCAAAGACTCTCACTCTGCAAACCTGTTGAATCAAGATTCACACTCACAGCCAACAGTGACAGTGACTGACAAGCAATTTTCTGCAGACACTTGCTGACTTTCTGACACAGTCTGAGCAGGCTCGCGTGGCCTACTGAAATGCGAGTGCCCCCAGCTGGGCTTGGCATCAAACTCAGTGGCTGACAAATATCTTCAACTGCTCAGCTTTGAACAATGATACTGGAGGTTCTCATGATGGCTGCCAAGCTCAGCAAACACTCACTGCCAAAAAGGATTGAGTTGCCGAATTGCAACACCTACTGACTTCGAGTGACCTTGACCGGCTTCCCTGCTGTCAGCTGCACATCTTGCTCACAGGCCAGGAATGGCTTTTTGCATGTCAACTTGCAGTGGACCTTGTCAAGCTGGAAGCGCCACAGCCACACAAAGGACGGATGCAGCCCAACCTTCCCAGTTACCAATGGCTTCGCCGCGTTGCCAGCTGTGTAGTTGGAGATGGCCTTGTCCTTTGGCACAAAGCGCCATGCCTGCCCTTCAGGGGTCAGAGTGAAGCCGTGGGCATTGGCGCCATCAGGCTGGACATTCTCTTGGGCCAGCAAGAAGGCGTGGCCATCCTCTGCCACCAGGAAGAGCGCTGTGCGATTGTCAAAGAGCTTGACATTGACTTCCGCAATGATCTTGAACTGCTGCCGCGACACGGCCTCACTCTCTGGCCCTGCAAGCATTGGCCCCGGGGCCGGTGGCATCTGGCTTCCTTGCATTGCTGTCGCCACGCACTGCATTGAGTTTGCCCATGAGGATGTTGCTGAAGTCATCGGAGTGCTTCAACTC